CTTGATACAAAAGACTAAAATCAACAAAATGTACTCGTAAGGCTATCCGACATATACAATCATAGGTAAAAGTAAAATTCCACATTGCTAGATATGAGAAATAATAATCAAATTAAAATATATATGGACTTTGAACTCATCTAAATAATGTTGACATTTTAAGATGAAAATCATATCTAAAAGTGGTATCATTTTTTATTTTTTATTTTTTTTAAGTTCAAATATAAAATTCAATTCGTTTTAGGCTCAAACGAGCTGTCCATATCTAATATTAGTGTTTAAATGAATAACCATATTGTAGAATGGGTTATAAATAAAATTTTCTATCATTCAAATATAAAACATAACCATCAATGAACTCCAAACTTCAATGGTCATCACCTGCTACGTCTAAAATTCAACTTTGATTTAAAAAATTCCTGGAAAATAAGGAAATTTCTAAGGATGGAGTAGGAGACTTGATGAGTCAAGAGTCTTTTCCTTTTTCTTACGATAGTTGTCTTTTTTGGACTATCATCGGAGGAAATTTTGCTACAAATTTCACCAATTTGCAGTAGTGATTGGATAGCCATACTATCTATACAAGCATGGAGACACAAATACAATCATGCTTAAGCTCAAGTAGAAAGAATTAATTCATTTCTCGAAGCCAAGAGCTACCAAGCACATTTTAATACCTTAATATAGACAGAACACGGAAATGTGATATTCATATGATATTTGATTTACAGTTGATTGGCTAAAAGTAAAATCCTTCCCTTTTTCCTATAATTTCATAACCTCTCATTCACGTAGATGTGTGGAAAGGTTTAAATTGACTCGCGCTCATTACGAAGTGCCTTTGGCAACCTTTCTTAACGAATGTGAGGCCGGGCCCACCCACAATTTGTCTACGTCCGTGAAGCTCATTAGGAATTTTTAATAGGATGATTGTATTGAGTCTCATGAAATTTGTAGTTAATAAATGAGTAGTAGTTATGATGTGCAATTAAAATTAAATATCAACTTTGAATCGGAAATTACATAAGGGTCCGTTTGATTGATAGGGTGGAAAATTGGTGGAAATAAAATATTTTACAGGGAAAAGATTTTCCTACAAATTGTTTTACTGAGATGTGTAATTAATTGTGTTTGATTAATATAATTTTTCATGGAAAATGTTGAAAGTTTGGTGTCCGTTTGATTTCGTTTTTTATGGAAATTGTCCATTAAAGTGATAATTTTTTCTACCATTGGGTCTAGAATTTGTTCCAATTGCCAAAAAAAATTAAAAATTATCATACCGAATACCATTCGTTTGACTTTGTTTTGTATGAAAATTGTCCATTAAAGGGAAAAAAAAAATTACCATTGTTGATAAAAATTATTCAAATTGCCAAAAATAAAAAAGGT